CCCGAAGATAATACAAGCATTGAAGAGTGTGTGGAAGAACCGCCTGATGCCAGGCCCACACTCTATTATATTCCCGTCGCCCAGGTCGACGGTCCGCTCAGTCAGCCATTTAATCCACAGCCAATTGAGATGGTCTGGTCCCGGGACAGACGTATTACTAGTCTTTCCCAGAACCTCCATCATTTCCCACTCGCTGAAGGGGGGAAACTCCCTTTCAGGCAATTGGGGTATTGCCTCAATCATCTCCCAATCAACTGGTTTAGGGTTGGCAGGGGTGAATTGTGTTTGAAACGCCTCCGCCATTAGGGCAGTGGTGTTTGCAGGTCTGCCATCGCGCATTTTTAGCTGCACATTGGCTGACTGTTTACGTGGTTTGGTCCATTGGACAAAATCCAATATAAGCTTGGGGTTAGCCCTCTTGATGCACGCATCGAAGAATCCCCTCTTAGCCGCCCTGGTGGCTTTCTTTAAGTCACCCCGTCGGTTGTGCAAATCTGACACTGCGGCTCTAATGACCACCCCCTGGGCTGCAGTGCTAGCATCAAAAGAACCATGAGATGACCGCAGTGTCCTATACTGGACCCTGGCGTTATCTACAGTTGTTGTCGCATCCCTCACTCTCTGGGCCGCTCTCTGACATCTCCTGTTCCACCATGTACGCGACCTGGCAGATATCTTAGGAGGTGTGGCATGACTCGCCCAGTGTGTGGACAGAATTTGTTGAAGGTGTGCCGCCGCTTCGACGACATCCTCCTTAGACTGAAGGACAGGCTGGTATGCATGTAATTCCACGGCAACAGCATTCAGGTATTTCTGAGCTGCTGTTCCTGTTCTAGGGATACGGGGATCCCTGGTTGGATTGACATCTATCGCCAAGTTCCATTTGAGGACTGCATGATCCGAGCGGTGTCGGCCACTTTGGTCCACTTTGAGTAAAGCTTCCCCTTCCCTGTAATCAGGGTCGAGCCACACCAGATCGATGGTGCCCGGGGAAGCCGCAGTACTGTTGGGGATCCACGTCGGGATCCCATCATCATCATTCAACAGGTCAAGACCCATTTCCTCTTGTGCTAGGGTGATCAAGGCCAATGCCTTGTCACCATGTCTACTGCGTGTGCCAGCCCTGCGAGACCCTTTATCCCACAGGACATGCCGCAAATTGAAGTCCCCTGCCATTACCGCTATGGGTGGTAGGGACATTATGTGGTCGCTGAGGTAGTTCACAGCAGCGAACGTTTTGCTGTCATTGTACACGCACAAAACATGCAATGGTCCCCCCTTCATGCTCAGTTTGACTAACAGAGCATCAGGATGGTGAACGATGTTGGCCAGAACAACCGGGCTACAATGTCCCCATCGTCTGTTGATATATACTGCTACCCGTGAGTGCGATGACGCACCCAGGCACACAAAGTTACGGTGATGAACCGTATCTACAAGCCAATCTCCATCTCGATTACGCGAAGATGCGATCTGTTTGATCTGGCCCCAGAAGATCTCTTGGACCATGACAGCATCGGCGTCTCTGTTATCTTCTAACAGGAGCGCCGTGTTTTCCCTTGACTTTTGCACATTCTGGCTCACACAGCGGAATGGTAAGGGCGCGACTATCTCAGGGTGGTCATTGTTATCACCATTCAAGACAGGTATTACACTATTTACATCGCTAGTTGTACACATATAGACAACGCAGTAAATGATACTAGGAAATGAGACTACTGAGCCGCTGCCCCCGAGGGGCCGGCCTCAGCATTCCCATCCGTCTCTTCATCGGCATACATCTCCTCTATGGAGTGCTCCGGCGCATCTGGGGGGAGCGTCTCAATGCCGCTCGCCTCACCCTCCACTTCCAAGCCCTCAAAGCGGGAGCCTTTCGCCAGTTCCGCTCTGCCCTTGGCCCTTGCTCGCTTGGCGACTGTCGCGGCCACCGCTGCTGCCTTTGCTGCAGGCACTTTCGGGGGGTTCTCCGAGTGCCACTTCTTGTTCCTGGCATGCTTCGCCCAAGAACACTTGGGGTAGCTTGCACGGTGTCCTTGGGTGCCGCAGTTGGGGCAGCGATCATGGGACTCGGGGCAGGGAAGTTCCTCAGCCTTGAGGACAACCCTTCGTTGGGCGCAGCAGGACGCCATCCGGTCATGGAGCTCCGAGATGTGTGGCTCGCCACACCTCTCGCAATGTTCGTGGGTCGCCTTGCAGATCGGCGCAGGGTGGCCCCACCTCCAGCATCTAGGGCAGAGGGGGACGCAATCGGCCTCATACCAAGGGGCAACTGAGTGCCACTTGTCGAAGAGTTTGATCTTGAGGGCGCACATTTTGGTGGATGTGCGGCCCGACTTGGTGTCCGCGATGGTGACGACCAGGGTACCACTGCCCCCGGCCGCCCCAACCATGCGCGCCCTAGGTGCCTGCTCGAACGGCTTGAGGTGTTCAGCCAGCTTGGGGTTGCGGTCTCTGAGTTCCTTCTCCAACTCCGACAGCGAGTATTCCAGCTTGGTCTTCGCAACACGGTATTTGGGGACCGCGCGGATGGCTAGCTGGGTAAGGGTGTGGGCAAGTTCCACTCGTACTGAGACTGGCTCCATGCCGTCGGCACGGAGTTGGGGGGGGAGAAGGACATTGGCGAGGTCGCGGACGAGCAACCCCATCTCCGGGTCAGTAGGGTGTTCGCCAAAGGTCAAGTAGAGCTCGTTTTCCGAGCGGCTCCATGTTCCAGAGGCAACATAATTGGCAGAGCCGATCCCCGCAAACATTGCGGTGATGGCTTGCTGTACATTGGCGAAGAGCGGCCTCTCGTTGTCCGCATCCAGGATCCTGCCAAAAAGCACCCTCACCGTCTTGGTAGAGAGTGCTCGGCCTGGAAGAGGGACATGCCGCACTAGGGCCTTGAAAGGAGCCGAGGCGGAGGCAGTCGAGGGGGCGGTCACAGGGGGAACCGTCGGGTTGTGGCCACGCGCCATGGGGGCTGCGGCTGGGGCGGGCACGGCAGAGGGACTGGGCGTACCAGCCTGTCCTCCCTTCGTCGTCGTGGTGTTGGGGAGGCCCACCTTCTGGACCGGCAGGGTGAGGCCTCGTCTGTCGCGTTGTCCTCGGGCAAGCCGGAACGCTGTGATGGGGTCGATGTTGGGGACGATGGATCCAATGTCCGCGACGTCGTGTAGGACTGCCCAGTTCTCGGGCGTGTCCAAGGGGAGCTCGCCGAACTGGCTTGATTCCACTGCTCGTTGCTTCGGTGACTGAGCGCGAGAGGTGGCATTAGAGGGGAGGGGCCGCTTGGTGCCTTTAGAAGGCGGCGCAGGCTCTTGGATGGTGACTGCCTTCTCCTTGCCCTTGGCAGAGGAGCTGGCAGTGGCGGCGGCGTACCTTGGGATGTTAGCAATCCCTTTGACGCGCTGGGTGAGAGCCTTGAGAGTAGCCGAGTTCCCTGCTACCTCCCGCCCGATGGTCGCAATCTTCTCATCCAGCACCTTCTCGATGCCTTCTGCGAATCGCCTCAGATTGCGGTCGCCCTGGCCCTTCGCCTTGGCAACCCACTTCCAATGTCCCAGTTGTCCCACCGCATGGGAGAGTGTTACAGCTTCGAGGGGGGGGTTTCTTTCTTTTCCTAACTATTCGTC